GCGGGTACAGGAATTGGAGAAGAGAGACCTGTGGTGATGATGACGAGAATGACGAGAATGACGCCGGTTACGATGGGCCTTGCAAAAGATGGTGGACGAGAAGAAAGTCAAGAAGTATAAGTGTGGCGATGATGTTGAAAGAAACAGGGCGAGGAGGAGAAAGGCTACGCGAGGGCAGACGTGAAGCTGGACAGGAGAAAGAAGAGGACTCTGACAGTGTGTGGACAGTGGCGTGAAGCTGTATGACTTGAAGATGTGAGGGTGTTGCAAAGAGAGGAAGGTGTGAGGGAGGACGTAAAAGAGGACCAGGGGAGGGCGTTGCGAAGAGAGAAGATGTGAGGGTGACAAAAAGAGGAGAAGGAGGGGGTCTATGCATCTCAACGGCTGCTATGTGGGATAGTGGCGGCCTTCGACGCGGGCGTTGGCTTCTTCGAAGAAGAAAGACGGGCTTGTCCATGACGCCCGCGATGAGCGCTGCAGTTGGGGTGGGCGATGAAGTCACGGAAGCGAACAGAGGAATTAGTGAAGCCGACGTTTTTAACAGTCTGAGGAGGTGAAGAAAAGAGAGAGGAGGGGATGCCAAAGCATGGAGAAGGTACAGGGTCCGGAGGGGAAAAGAGAGAGGAGGGTGTAACAATAGCCTTCAGATCAGATAGCAGAGAAGATGATGGATGATGAGAGGTGTAATTAGGAGACGAGAGGGGAGACGCAAGGAGAAGAAAAGGATGGAAGGTGGACGTCTAGGAACGGGGAGGATGAGGAGAGAGTAAACGTTCGAAAGAATGGTGATTGGGAGGGGCAGGATGAGGAGGAGGGGACGGGCAGGATAAGGAGAGTAAACGCTGAGAAGAATGAGGAGTGGAAATTCGAAAAAAATGGAAAAACGCCAGTTTGCCGCGGATTGTGGCCAGAAAGAAATATATTCTTCAAAGTAAGAATGAGATGGCAGTGGACAACGGGTTGGGAGGCGAGAGAGACATTGGAAATGGTTTTGGGGGGGGTGGAGGAGGGAGACTTTCACATGGCCTCCCAAAACTCTCGGTGAGCAACAGGGGGGTAGAGTAGGGAAGAGGGGAAAGGATATTAGGGAGAGACCTGTGGTGCGGGCTCCGCGTTATCTCCGCGCTCACCTTCCCTCCCTCCTCCACCTCCACACGTCCCCCGCCCTGCACCGTCTCCATAACCATCACCGCTTTTTCGACTAAACAGTTGGGGGATGGTGCTGGATATGACGATCGCAATTGTTGGGAGGAATGGAAGAAGAGCAGGAAGTCATCGCCGCTTTTTGGACTTAAACGGTTGTGATTGTGCTGAATTTCATGCTTGGACAGGCCAGATTCGTTGTCCTTGGTCTCTTTTGGAATTCGAAGGCCGGCTCTCTGTGTCTTTGTCACGGGGCTGAATTGGCTTCGTTTGGAAAAAAAAGCTTCGTGAACTACTGTCTTCACCCGAATACAACGCCCGGTCATTATCGCTGTATCTAGACTGAAAGATGCCCCAAATACAGCTATAATGACCGGGCGTTGTATTCGGGGGAAGAAGGTAGTAGGCCATAATACTCACACTAGGACCTTCCTAAATGTATTGGACTGCGATTGCGGCGAGATCGGATATGGATGAATCTGACTGCAATCATGGCCAGAGCTGAGTAGAAAAAGTCCTACCAAAGTGTTTAGTATCTTTGACTCGATTATTCATTCGCTGAGAATAGAGAGCCCTCGGGAGTCCAATTGCAATATGATAATAACATGCTCAAGTCTGTCGGGCCAAAGAGCTCTCATGAACTGACAGGCTATCTTCTATATACTCAAGGCTAAGGCCGTACGGTAGTCATGAAGGTCAAAAAGGTCTCATGAAGGGTGAGAGATTGAGGCTCCCGTCTTCATCCGAATAGAACGCCCGGTCATTTAGCTGTGTATTCGGCACAACTTTCGGTCCAGATGCAGCGATAATGACAGGGCGTTCTATTCGGTTGAAGATGGTAGAGTTCGAGCCTCGCTGGTGAAAGAGACGTCAACAATGTGAGAGACTGAGAGAGAGACTACCTTTCGCGCTCAACGCCAGCTGAGACGATTTTCTTCATGCCGTACGGCGGTGCAAAGATCGGTCGATCTACCGTTCATGTGGTTTGTTGGTCCATTGATTCCTTGATTAACTGGTATATCCTTCCCCCCTTGATGAATTTGGTCTGTAAGTCCTTGCTGGATCGGTCTATGGATACTTTGATCGAGTGCTTGATTGTCGCGCATTGATTGTCGCGCATTGATTGGGCTTCGAGTCTTGGTTGAATGGGTTGACTAGCGGTAACACGACGGGCGCGTGTTTATTGGCATTGTGCCGTAACAAGACTCTCGATTACGAAAGGGGGGGTGGAGAGCATGAACATATGCGGTCTTCTGCGCTGAATCCATCCATTCATTCACTGCTGCATCCATCATGAACGCGTGACGTGTCCGCGTGGGGGTTACTATCGGAGTCCAGAGCCTTTACATCGCTGGCCTCTTCTGCCCTTCCATCACTGATGCATTCATCGTCCAGGTGAATTTACTTCAGTAGTGCAGAGCGTCAAGATCCGTAAGCCACACATGCGTCTGACGCAGAATTTGTATGGAGGACGCGTCTACCAGTCTGTCGCACATGCATCCCTCTGTCCAAATTCGAACGTCAACCCCGGTAGCAGCAAGGTTGACGAGGCCTCAATTTTACTGTGAAATGTCGCACAGACGTGCCCACGCACGCACGCACAATGAA